TTTGTCGAAGAGTTTTTCAGAGGCTTTCTCACTTAAGTGCGAATGTGCTCATCGAAAAACTCCCTAATACAAGATAAAGAGGCAGCAAGCAAGACAAAAATATAGAACAAATTAAGTACATTAGAGAACAAACTATTTAGAATACATAAATAGTGTTTTATTTATACTAATAATTTGGTATGCATGTTAATATCACTGTAATAGCTATTTTTAGTTTGAAGATTTGCGCACAATTATTGTACGAGGGATGTCTTTTAAGTTTTGCATATGGAAATAAAACAACACGGTAGGAAGTTTTAAATGACCTTATTGTCAAGATTAATACACATCTTCATGCGCTCGAACCAATTTTCAAAGCACTTATTCCACTCGTTTGCTGGCAGGTCCAAAACGGCATTTTTGAATGCGTCAACTGCTTCTTCTGGTGACTGAAACCTTTGACCACCCAGTCTGTTTTTAATTTTCGGGAACGTAAAGAAATCGTTAGGACTATATGGAGGATGGTCCAATAATTCCACGTTTTCTTCCGTTAAATACTGCCTTGTTTTTTGGGCTGTGTGCGAGCTTGCATTGTCTTGGTGGAGGATAATTCTTCTTTCAGGGTTGATTTTTGGAAGCTCGGTGATGACTTTTTGGCAAACAAACGGTGGTATACCAATCCTCAGTAACAGTTCTTTGCTCATTAAGAGTAATTGTTGCAATATGACCCGCTTTCGACACAAATGTCGCGACCATCTTTTTCGAAACACTTCGAGAACGGCTGACTTAAATAAAGTCATAAAATACTCTTTTCATTTCTTCAATTGGTCAATTAATTGTTTAACAGTTCTTAGGCTCTGTTGTACCACTTGGTTATGTAGGATTTAACATTTTTTTGAAGGCTCTGGGTGTTACGCACTTTCCAAGAGTACATACAGATTGCCTTTAGGCGAGTTGAACTTAAGGCAGTGGTGCAGGAACAGAGTATGCTATTTTTCATTTTAACATGTCTTGGAAAACAATGGCGTTGCGAATATTAGACCTGTAATATATGAGTCTAAATATAAAGACTCTCTTCTAAACCCTTATTACCTGAAAGTACACTATTTTCAAAGTGGATAAATTCCATATTTGATGATACGAATTAACAACTCACGAAATATACTAGAAGCTTTAGGGGTCATCGTGAAACCGCAGCAAGAATATTTATCATATTTACCCTGCTGTTAGACAAAGTGTTGGTAATTTTTCGCAAGTATACTTTGCGTGAGGATATAGGATTATATGTGTGGGTATATATATAAGGGAGGTGTGTCGGGTGTCTGCCTTTGAATGAAGAATAATGAATTTGTCTTGACAGTCAAGTAATGGAAATGAATACAGTACTAACAACTGAGAGTAAATATTGCACTGTTCTCGATTAGTCAACGCTGTATTTGAAAGGAGGCTTATAAATCGATTTCATACTAGACGGACAGAATTTTCATCGAAAAACGTAATCTGATTTAAGCGGTAGGATTTCTAAATGCACTTCCATGCAGTTGTGTATGATTAGCTCGGGATTACAAAGATGTTACACATCCGATCCTTATAGATATTGGTAATGTTTGATCAGCGATACTAAGCCGATCGATTTTGGCTCACTTTCATCATTATAGTTTTACGCCTGATGTTAATTACATAGTTAGTCGCTCCTTCTTACGTATTTAAAAGGCCGGACTATGATCTGGGATATAATTGAAAAACCAAAAATTCTACTAGACGACATGTAACTATCACCCTAATCGAGACACTAAAGATACTAGAGTAAACAAACAAAGCCTAGACAATATTGCCGGATATGCCATTTGTCTCCGAATTGAAATGCAGAACATGTATTAGAATAAACAAAACCTTATCGTGTTGTTATTAGTATGAGAGTATTTTGTATTTTTTTTCACTGACGCATAAGGGTCAAAGGTTCTCCATTTATTTGTCCTTGATTTTCAATTGCTTTGAGCATAGTGTGTATATCTTGAAGACAAATAATATTAATATCATCATTATACTAAGTGACATATAAATCCGACACCCAGTTTAAATGGTTTTATTTTAATAAAAGTTGGTGAATGTATTTATCTTACTGTAAATAACAAGTGAACAAATTTTCAGCCTTATCAGTTGGACATTCCGGTTTTTATACTGCTTTTTTTTAATTCACTAACGCTCTAAAATGAATATTTCAGCCGCAGTAAAGAATCAACGTTGGCGGATTTTGGTTCTTGACATCCTTTACGATCGGTTACGATGCCTAGAGTACGGAGACCTGTACGATTTCGTCACTTAGTGAGTTTGATAGGGGCCGTATAGTGGGACTTCGGGAAGCTGGACTTTCTTTTCGGGCAATTGCAGTTAGAGTGCAAAGAGTGTAGAGACACTGTGGTTAGGTGTTGTCAGGCATGGCTTCGAGAAGGCCGTACGGAAAAAGCAAGGGGCACTGACGCGCCGTAGTAGAACAACAGACCGTGAAGATCGCCGCCTAAGATGAATTGGCCTTAAGGGACCTTTCTTCTCCACTACCAGGTCCATTGCAAATGAATGGTTGCAGAAACGAACGGAAGACCCTATTGGCATGCGAAGTGTTACGACGAATGGCACGAATGAGAAGTTTTGGCTTGTTTTCATACCCTGCCACACTGGGTCCTCCCTTTAACTCGAGAACACCGGAGTAATCGCCTAGAGTGGTGCAGGACAACGGTCACTCTGGGATCAGGAATGGAACGTATTGTCTTTTAGTGACGAGTCTCGATTTTGTTTAGGCATGCACGTGGTCATGCCAGGGTTAGAAGGCGAGGTGGTGAAAGGAGGAATCCACAGTTTTTTGTTGAAAGAGATGTTCATCACACTGTTGGAGTTATGGTTTGGGGTTTAATAGCTTATGGTTCCAGGTCAACCTTTATCTTCATCAGAGGTAAACATGAACGTGCAGCGTTATATCACGATATTCTAGAACCCCCATCTTTTACCCTATCTGACACCCTGCAGATCCAACTTTCAACAAGATAATGCCCGACCACATGTTACAAGAGTCACAATAGACTTCTTTCAACATAATGATGTCACATTGTTACCATGGCCACCAAGATCTCCCGACTTATCCCCAATTGAGCACGTGTGGGATATGATGGGTAGGAGATTGCTCAATTTGCACGTCCTCCTCAGACTCTAGAAGCACTTCGAGAGGAGTTGGTGGTTGCCTGGAATGAGATACCACCGGAGGACATTGACCACCTGATCAGAAGCATGCCTAGGCGCGTTGGAGAATGCGTAGCACATCAGGGTGCATCCACACATTATTAAAGGTCAAAGGGCTTTAAAGCAGTGCAATCATTTTGAAATTTTTATCATTTACTTATTATGCTTCATTAAGAACTTATAAAAAATTTTATTAAAATAAAACCATTTAAACTGGGTGTTCTGATTTATATGTCACTTAGTATAATTAACACACCCATAGAGCGCCAATTTTTTCGATTTTTAAGGATTGACGACGGAACCTCATCGCATGAAAAACGAATTAAAATTTGCAGGCTGTTTATTATTGTTAGTTTTTGATTGTAAACCATGGCATTTTACAAGATGCGATTCATCGATGTTTACTTTCATACGTTTAAAAATGTCCTGTACTTACTACTATATATAGTGGGACTTCGGGAAGCTGGACTTTCTTTTCGGGCAATTGCAGTTAGAGTACAAAGAAGTGTAGACACTGTGGTTAGGTGTTGTCAGGCATGGCTTCGAGAAGGCCGTACGCAAAGAGCAAGGGGCACTGGACGCCGCCGTAGAACAACAGACCGTGAAGATCGCCGCCTAAGATTATTGGCCTTAAGGGACCGTTTCTCCACTACCAGGTCCATTGCAAATGAATGGTTTGCAGAACACGGAAGACCTATTGGCATGCGAAGTGTTTACCGACGAATGAGAAGTTTTGGCTTGTTTTCATACCGGCCACACTGGATCCTCGCTTTAACTCGAGAACACCGACGTAATCGCCTTGAGTGGTGCAGACAATGGTCACTCTGGGATCAGGAATGGAGCAGTATTGTCTTTAGTGACGAGTCTCGATTTTGTTTAGGCATGCACGATGGTCGTACCAGGGTTAGAAGGCGACGTGGTGAAAGGAGAAATCCACAGTTTTTGTTGAAAGACATGTTCATCACACTGTTGGAGTTATGGTTTGGAGTGCTATAGCTTATGGTTCCAGGTCACCTTTAACCCTCCATCGCTCGCACCGTTAGAAAAAATCTAACATTTTTTAAATTTTTCTCATAAATTTGAAATTTCGCGGCTTAGCAGGCCCACCATCTAGGAACACCCCTTCAAACTAATCTACTATGTGAATCTGTGGTCGTGGGGAGGAGCTATTTTGTTCTAGTGCCGCAATCGCATAATGTTAGTTCCAGTCTAGCACGCGAGTGATGGCGTTCGGCCGCGGGTTAGATAAACAAATTGTAAACAAGCTTATTCTCCGGGATTTTACGTAACAATTGACGAAATGTTGGAGGATTTCGGGGCAGATGCCGATTTAGACAATACATAGCCAACAAGCCCGCCAAATACGGCATCTATGGATTAGTAGACGCCAGAACATTTTTTACATCAAATTTTGTGGCGAGCGTTGTATTGCGACTTATAGAGCCAATTAGTGGTACAGGAAGAAATGTAACCACCGACAATTATTTCACCTCAGTGCCATTGGCTAATAGCTTATTAGTAAACCATCGACTAACTACAATAGGATCAATTCGCAAAAATAAGCCTCAAATTCCTCGAGAACTTCTAGATGTGAAAAATAGACCAGTAAAAGGAGCATGTTTGCATATGGTGAAGACACGGATGAAAACTCCAATTAGTGCCTTCTGGTTTCATATGTACCAAAACGAAACAAAAACGTGCTGTTATCATCAACCCTGCATGATGATAGTAAGATCAACGATGACACTGGAGATGCTTTCAAGCCCGAAGTTATTTCTTTTTATTAGACTATAATCTTACGAAAGGAGGCGTAGATGTGGTCGACAAAATGAAATCTGAATACTCAACAGCACGATTCAGCAATAGATGGCCATATACCGTATTCTGTGGCCTTCTGAATATATCAACCATCAACAGCCCAATAATCTATCGAGAGAATACAAACAATATTATTACCAGAAGACAACTTATATCGGAACTTAGTAAATTGCTTGTCATGCCTCACCTGTATAGACGTTCTCAGATTCCAAGTCTGCCTTATCTACTTAGTCAAAAGATTAGAAACATAACTGGAGAAAGACCAACCCCAATAGAGACCAAGACACTCAAGCCAAAGTGAGATGTGAATTCTGTACATTGAGAAAAAACAGGTTCACTCAGAGAAATTTTTCAACCTGTAGATCACTGATATGCAAGGAACATACAGCAATAACTTCATTGACCTGTCGTGAATGCTATGGACGTAACGAGAATGTTTAAAGTGCATAAGTGTTTTGTAAAGCATTATGAACGCTTTCAATATATACCCTGCATTTATTTGTTTAGGGTTTCCTTCAGCTCTAGAGGATTCCAGAATGAAACATCAGAAGAGAGACCTTCAGTTCAGAAATTTTAGATGAATAATTTTCACTGTTTCGTTAGTATTTTTGTATAGTTTTACAAATAATTTTTCACTAATGTATAGCTTAATAGTATAAGTAATACTTTACTTGACAATATAAACATTTAATTTAAGTAAAAATAGCTTTTTATTGAACATCTGAATGTTAGATAAAATCTAGCACGCGAGCGATGGTGTAATAAAATGAGGCGCGAGCGATGTAGGGTTAATCTTCATCAGAGGTAACATGAACGCGCAGCGTTATATCCACGAAGTTCTAGAACCCCATCTTTTACCCTATCTTGACACCCTGGCAGATCCAACTTTCCAACAAGATAATGCCCGACCACATGTTGCAAGAGTCACAATAGACTTCTTTCAACTAATGATGTGACATTGTTACCATGGCCACCAAGATCTCCCGACTTATCCCAATTGAGCACGTGTGGGATATGATGGGTAGGAGATTGCTCAATTTGCAACGTCCTCCTCAGACTCTAGAAGCACTTCGAGAGGAGTTGGTGGTTGCCTGGAATGATATACCACAGGAGGACATTGACCAAGTGATCAGAAGCATGCCTAGGCGCGTTGGAGAATGCGTAGCACATCAGGGTGCATCCACACATTATTAAAGGTCAAAGGGCATTAAAGCAGTGCAATCATTTTGAAATAATAATAAAATAAAACCATTTAAACTGGGTGTTCGGATTTATATGTCACTTAGTATACTTATCACAAATATAACGTCATCAGTAGTGACATGGGTGAAAAACATTGATTGTTTGGCTGTTTCGCCAGTCGCCAGTAGTGCAGGAATCCAACAAAACGGTTGGCCATTTTCTTGCCAATGGATACATGTTTTCCAAAAACGTTGGCCATATCAGTAGGGTTGGTTATAGTTACATTATCGCAGAATAATTCTGTGATAACTGCATTTTTTTGTTTACCTTTTATTGAATTGACAATATTCCAAGTAGTTTTCTGTTTATTTGAAGATTTGCTTATTATCGAGTGATAGTATCTAATCCTTTCATCACGAATATTCATCTTTTTTAAAAGATTTAAATTTTGTTTACAGATTAGTATCTTGAATCTCTTTTCGTAGTCATGCTAGGTTATTCAATCGATCTATTTTTTTCTTGAAGTAACTTAGAGAATTTAATTTTCTTATGAGAAGTATTTTTATGAACATTTTTACGTTTAAAGCCTATGTTGAAAGACCACAAGCACGTTTCTAGAAAATCATCAAAATAGTCATTTATTTTATACTTCTTAATGTCACCAAACCCATGCTTCAGTAACAAATTACACATGTAGTTAGGTGTTCAGTGGTTTTCATGGTATGATATCTGCTATAAAAAATAAATTGTCCCATATGATCTGATCTCCCCATGGCTAACTTGGAGAATCAGAGGTTTATAGGTACTGCCCATTTCAACAATACTTGATGCTTATAATTTACTCGTATATAGATTACACTTTCGTACTTGTATTACTTGTATCTGTTTTGTCTGTGTACGTACTTAATTGTATTAAAAAAAAATAATAAAATAAATATAAGAGTATGAATATCAAGTTTTCTTCCAAAACTAATCTGAAGGATCGAGTGTTGAAATACTCGCATATTATCACTAAAACGTAAACAAGATGAAAGTTGTTAGAAAACATATTGGTTCA